GGTGTAATGAGGTTCGGAAAGAAGGGCAAGTTGAGCCCTAGGTATATAGGACCCTTCGAAATTCTTGAAAGGGTGGGTGAAATAGCCTACATGCTTGCACTGCCACCTAGTTTATCAGCAGTTCATTCGGTGTTCCATGTGTCTATGCTCTGGAAATATCATGGTGATCTGTCCCATTTGTTAGATTTCAGCTCAGTTCAATTGGACAGGGATTTGACTTACGAAGAGGAGCCGGTAGCTATTCTAGCCAGGCAGGTCCGACAGTTAAGGTTTAAGAGTTATCCTTCAGTTCGGGTGCAATGGAGAGGTCAGCCGGTAGAAGCATCTACCTGGGAGTCCGAGTCGGACATGCGGAGTAAATATCCATACCTTTTCACCAGCTTAGGTACTTTTTCTAATTCCGTTCGAGGACGAACGTTTGTTTTAGAGGTGGAAAATATGATGACCCAAAAGGTCATCTGTAAATTTAATAATTATTTTTGTTCTCTAAGACCTCGAAAAGAACTATTCATCATTCCTCGACTTGCGTGCACAGTCCGTATAATTTTTCGGAAAGTTTTTATATGAAAAATTGATTAAAATGTGAAATAGAGCCTTAAAACTCAATTGAGTTGACTTTGATCAATATTTTGAGTAAACGGACCCGGATCAGTGTTTTGATAGTTCCAGTAGATTCGTATCGTGATTTGGAACTTGGGCGTATGCCCGTAATTGAATTTGGAGGTCCCTAGCTCAAGTTATCGCATGTTGTCGAAAATTTTAAGTTTAAAGGTTTAATGACATAAGAGATTTGACTAATGTTTGACTTTATTGATAACGGGTCCGTATTTTGGTTCCGGAATTATGTTTAGCTCCATTACTATATTTATGACTTGTCTGCCAAATTTGGTAAGAAATAGAGCTGGTTTGACGTAATTCGGACGTCCGGTTGTTAAAATAAAAATTATAAAGTTTTCTTAAAAATCTCATTTGATTTGGTGTCCAATTCGTAGTTCTAGGCATTATTTTGGTGTTTTGATCGTGCAAGCAAGTTCGTATGATATTTTTGGACTTGTGTGCATGTACGGTTTAGAGCCCCGAGGGCTCGGGTGAGTTTCGGATAGCCTACGAACCTTTTGAGCTTTGGAAAAATCTGGTTTTTGAGCTTCAGCTATCATTTGGTGCATGGTGCTTCGTGATCGCGAAGCCATTCCCACGACCGCGAAGAGGAAATTGTGAGCCGTGATTTTTACTCTTCGCGATCGCGGAAGGTTAGCAGAGTTATGCTTCGCATTCGCGTATGGGATGTCGCGTTCGCGTAGTGCAAATTGGCAACCTGTGCAAGTTGTGCTTCGCGATCGCGAAGCCTTTCGCGAAGAGTAAAATGGACCTGGGCAGAAATATTTCTACGCTATCGCGAACGGTTTCCCGCGATCGCGATGAGTAAAAATCTGGACAACAGAACTTAAGTTTTGGAAATGGGATTTCGTCCCATTTTCTACCATTTTCGATTTTGAGCTCGGGTAAGATAATATTTGGGCGATTTTCACGAAAAAATATTGGGGTAAGTGTTCCTTATCCTATATTGATTATATTGCGTGATTCCATACTCATTTACATCATAAATCCGTGAATTTATGACAGAAAAATCAGATTTTTATAAAATCTTCCAAAAATATAAAATAAAGATTTGAAAGCAAATTTGATGTCGGAATTCGATAATTTTTATATGGCTGAACTCGTATCGGAACGGGTGTTCGGATTTTGTGAGTTTTTTCGAGATTCGAGATGTGGGTCCCACTGTTGATATTTAAAATAAATTTCAGATTTTAATCCGGAAAAATTAGTAAATTCAAATGGAATTAATTCCTACGATTTGTATTGAATATATTGAATTGTTTATGACTAGATTTGAGGATTTCAGACACTAATTCGCGAGGCAAGGGTGTATTGAAAACTTGAATTTGGTTGCGAAGCGAGGTAAGTGTCGTGGTTAACCTTGACTTGAGGGAATAGAACCCTTGAATTATATACTACGTGAATTTCATGTGTAACGATGTATAGGCAAGGTGACGAGTGCCTATACTTTATCAAATTAATTATTTGTTTAATTATTTAAGCATCTTAAATTGTTTTAAGACACGAATTAATTGTTATAATAATTGTTTCTCTCCTATTCCTTGTCAAATATTAATTCTTGAATTCCTGCAATAATTGTTACATGCTTATTTGATTTATGTGTCTTAATTGCTATTTGACAGTTAGCATATTAAAAATTAAACTGCCTATTTTCTCCCTGATTTCCATAATTAATTGCTACTTGTCACTGTTTATTTCATAAATAAATTATAATTATTGTATGCCTTGATACTTAATAGTTTCTCATTGAACGTGGTATTTATTGGAGTATTTTTATTATATTTAAGAGTTGTTAAAATATATGGGGGGATCGGGTTGCACGCCGCAACGGAAATGAAAATAAATATATTGGGGGATCGGGTTGCACGCCGCAACGGAAATGAAAATAAATATATTGGGGGATCGGGTTGCACACCGCAACAGACTTATTTAAAAGTTTATATTGAGGGATCGGGTTGCAGGTTGCACGCCGCAACAGAGTTATTTAAAGTTTATATTGGGGGATCGGGTTGCACGCCGCAACAGATTTATTTGAAGTTTATATTGTTGGAGCAGGTTGCACGCCGCAACGGAAATTGATTGAAATAATAATTGGTTATGACTGCCGAGTTGACTTCAACTGTTAAAATGCGTTACCTTATTTATTTCTATTATTGTTGTTATTATTATTATTGCGTACATGTTAATGTAAGTGACCTGTCTTAGCCTCGTCACTACTTCGTCGAGGTTAGGCTCGGCACTTATCAGTACATGGGGTTGGTTGTACGGATACTACACTCTGCACTTCTTGTGCAGATTTCAGAGTTGGTCCCAACGACGTACTGTAGATTTGCCCGGATACAGCTACCAGTGGAGACTTGAGGTATAACTGCACATCGTTCGCAGTTCTGAAGTCCCCTTCTATCTTATCTCAGCTGTGTATTATATTTCAAACAGGTTGAATTTATTTCAGACCTTTATTTGTATCATTCTAGAAGTTCGTGCACTTGTGACTCCAGTTCTAGGATGATATTTAGATATCGCCATTATTTTGGAATATTCACTTTATTTCAGACTTTATTTCCGCATTTATTTTCTTGTTATTAATTAATTTAAAATTTTGTTAAAAATGGCTAATTATATTCTAACGTTGGCTTGCCTAGCAAGTGAAATGTTAGGCGCCATCACGGTCCCGAAGGTGAGAATTTCGGGTCATGACAATTGTATACCATTTTTGTACACAATATTTAATTCAACAATATACAATGTACTGCAATAGTATATTGCTATAGTATAGTTTTAGATCTCTGCTTTTGTCATCGCTTAAGTTGTGATGATAGTGGGTGAAAATCACAATTAGTGCAAAATATTTATAAAAAAAGAAGTAAAAGTAAATATTTTATAGCTACGTAAATATTAAAAAATGTTTAAGGTCATAATTTCTTTTCTTTAAAATTCGTGTCAAATCTAATTTGGTTAAATGTATTGAAACAAATTAATAATATATTATATATGGTCGTGAAGGTGTAAACAATTATGCAATGGAGGACATGGGAAAAAACTTGAGACGTAATAAATAGGGTGCACATTGGGGCTTGTTGTTTCATGTGATGGGAAGTTGTCAAATTAGGATCTAACGAGAAGTCTACGATTTGAAAAATCATACTGCTTTCTCGTATATTTCTTTCTCTTTCACATGCTTCATTTATGACAACATCATAGGCATCATCTTCAATTTTAGTTCTCAGTCCTTTTTTAATTACTCCCTCCGATTTAATTAATGTGTCTTAGATTCAAATTTAAACAATAAAAAATACTTTTGAATCTTATGATCTTCAACTAAATATATATCCTTTAAATTTAGTGGTCTAAAATTTGTCATATGATATATTGGAGTTAAAGTTACTATATATAAAAAGTGGTCCTTATTTAATAGATTAAAAAGGAAGGTAAAACATATAAGTTGAAATAGATGAAGTATCGCGTGGAGGACAAGACGCATACTTATTTGAAAATTTAACCCAATTAGCCGTCTACCCAATCGCATATATTAAAATAGCTGATGGATATATAACATACGTATAATCCATATATAATGCGTATATAATCATGTTTAATTAGTGTATAAATAATGTATACTGGGTAGAAAAAGTAAATATCGAATTTGGCTGACTATTTGTGTAAAAATCCCTACTTATTTTATGGATGATTAGGACTTCTACAACTAAACCATAAACTTGTCAATCACTGGAAAAAAAAAAAAATTACATAGGGAGAATCCAAGCTTGAATTTTTTTGATGAACTAAGCACGAGTAAATTCTTTTCGATAATGATTGGCGATGAGACTTGAACCTAGGATCTTTGTCTACTCTAATATCATGTTGAAGTATATGATCTTCTCATATAAAAGCTTAAGTTATGAGAGATAAAAGACACTTTTATTACCATGTTCAGGGGCGGAGCCAACCCTTCAGTTACGGTTCGGTCGAACCCAGTAGCTTTGGTCCAAACCATGTATTTATCTTAAGAAATTTAGTAAATATGTATAAATTATGAATTTAGAACTCAATAACTTAAAAAGACTAAAATCCTGACCCCATAAACTTCAAATCCTGAATCCGCATCTGACATGTTATCAACGATAGTAACATGAAGAATAGAGCAATAGCCAGTTAAATTGTACTAATAGTGTAAGAAGTTCTCTAATTGTCAGTATATTAATTAACTTAAAACTCTTTTCACTTCAGCATTAAGTTTTTTATTAACAATTTTTCATAGCCAACATTACGAAATAAATGGCAATGCCTATTTCTGCTCAATATTTTTTAACAATTACAGAAGTTCACTTCACTACTAACTGCAATCACTAACAACATGGCATCATCAAACTCTTAATTTCCTTCCATAATCATACAATTTTTGTGAACGTCACAATATAACGTATAATCCCAAAAATTAAATGATATAGAAACACCTATGTTCATGCAACTAATCTTGGTCAGAACAACATGGGTCGTAGTGGGATGGATAAGATCCCTCTACCCAAAGATTTCGGGTTCGAGCTTTGGATATGAAAAAAACCTTTAGGCACCTGAACACAGGGTGGGAAACAACAAAAAAACATCTTTGGTGATTGCTTGATAATATACGATCCCCCAACCTTGAATCAAATGACAATCTTAGGTGAGCTATGTGGGTTTAACTGAACAATTATTTCGGATTCGAACTATGTATACATATAATTTGTAATGTACACATATAATAATTAAAATGCACACATTCTGAATGAACTCACTGACTTTGGATATTGAATTTGCCTCTATATGGAGATGCTGGAGCAGAATAAGACCAACACTTGGGCGGCGACGACAACGATGACGGCGACGACAACGATGATGTCGAATAACTAGCAGGAGATGATGATGATGTTGATTGAAGATGATTTTTTCTCAAGTTTAATTTGGGAAGGAAGGAAAGCATTTGTAAAAGTTTGGCTTTTGTTTGCTTTTTTATGGCATTTTTCTTCTTCACTTGAAAAGATGGTGGAGGTGCAAGAGGAGGAATTGGGGTTTCAAGAAACTTGACTTTTGGGGTTCCTGGTTGAGTTTCCCACTTAAATGGAACAGCCAATGGTGCATCACCATAATAGACTTCAAAATTGGACTTCTTCAGTATTGAAGATAACTTTTCATCTGATTTCTTTTCTATTGGCTTGATTTTGGGAAGATCTGTGGTAGTGTTGAGATTTTGCATTTTGGTCCTAAGTTTTAATGATGTCGGAGGAATCATGTCACTTGGAATCTCGGATAGTGAACTCAGATTTTGACCTTGGTAGAACTTGTCTTTCATTGATATATTAGGTCGGTTTCTCATGTGCCTATACAAATTCAAGATAAGAAGAAAGAAAAACAAGGATAGTAATATATCGCTTTGAAAACGTCACGGGAGAGAAAGATAGAAAGGTAACGTATGACACCTAAGGAAATAATATGGAACTAAAGAAGATTTGAAGATCAAGAGGAGAAGAGACTAACAAGGGTTTTAGGTGAATTGGAGATAGAATTAAATTTGGAGTTCAAAGAAAAGTTGTTTTGGGCAAAAAATAAAGAGTGAGTATATATAGTTTAGATTCCTAATTGAAAAATCAAATACCCAAAGCACGACCTACCCACTCGTTTTCCGTTTTCTTTCTTCCTTTTTTTTCATTCTGCTTTGCTTTGCATTTTGGGCAAAAACAACCATATAAATCTCTGACACGACTAAAGACTCCTATCGAGTATTGAACTTAAGTAAATGTATTAATATGACTAGAATTTAACCCCAACTTATTAGTATCACACTTTTATAGATCTTTCTTTTTCGTTGTATCTTATTTTTCGCCAGGTATACATGTGGATTCTGAGAAACTTGGCCATTGAAGAAGCCAAAGATGGCCATTGAAGAAGCCAAAGGCTGCACGAGAGACTAGGCTAACTTACTGCGCTATGCCATGGCTTAAGATTTAGGCTGCAAAGACGGAACTCTATTTACGTTTGTATAAGCTTTTAGAGATCATGACTTCTTTTCATGTGATTTTAGGTTTATCTTGTCTCTTTTTACGACATTCGATCACTATGGGTTTACACATGTAAGATATGACTAAACTATATATCAAACGATTTTCTTTCATTTTATCCTCTATATATGCTACTTGCATCTTCTAATAAATGTGATCAATTTTCTTAAGCCCTTCCTTTGTTGCCTTTCAGTAGCTCTAGTATATAATGCAACATATACAGCGGATAGATGTAAATATGTAATATAGTTTCAACGGGTTTAGCTGAACTCATAATATTTTACATGTATATATATTCGAGAAAATTGGATGAATTAAAACGGGTTAACCTAATAAGCGGGTTGGCTCATAAACTACCTAAAACGTGGCTGGACGAGTTTTTTTGGACTAAACAGTGAGTTATAATCCAATCCCGAACTCAAAATCATTTTTCATTTTTATTTATTCATTTGTAATTTTTAGCGAATTTTTTTTTCTTTTTATTAATCACCAATATATATATATATATA